CGTGGTGAACTTCGCCATATGCACGCACCTGCATCAGAACAGAATACAAGTAGAAAGTACTTATTGCATGAGTACACCTAGAAACACACCTGCGAACCTACATTTAGCACTACGTCCCTATTTTTCAATCAAGGCAGTACAACAAGCCGTGGCATGAAAGAAGTATCTTGAAGAAACCTGATCCTCCCGTCAGACGCACCCAAGGACCTTAACTAAAACACATGTCCTGAATCAACTTCAAAACGAGAAAAACAACTGTACTGTATGTCGGTGGTAGGGGAGTAATGCAGCAGCAAATAAGCTCAATCTCACAGAACTACACCTGATTCGATGATGGCAAGGATGTGGGAAGCTACTACTCCTGCCAGAAACCAGAAAGATGAAGACGATACTCTGATACTCTGTCTTCAATTCTCCGAACTTACTGAGTAAAAAAATCAGAACTACTACAATATCCCTGGAACCATGCTCCCTGCGAGGTGTACGAGGAACCATTGCCATCTAAGCATGGGCCTCGAGTTGACCAGGTACTCCGACACCGAGATCTCCTTCAGACCCAGGAGTGTGTCCATGATGCTGTTCAGCATCTTTTGTACTTCGTGTTCTGGAAGGAGTCCCTCGAAGATCCGGCGTGGAATGGCTGTCATCCACAGCCGCTTTCGACTTTGTGGAACACCGAACATTCGTGGGTCCAACTCCCAGACATGCAGCAAACGATCTGTCTTTGTGCTGATCAAGTGTCCGACATGGTCCAGGTTGGAGGGTCCAGTGCTGCCGTCGGCGTTACGGGTCTTGGTCTTCAGTCCGGCGACGTTCTCAAACAAACAGAAATTCGGTCCGACGAGGCCCGTCGACTGCAGGTAGTGAACGATGCCCTGCAGCACGGAGCCAGTGCGAAGAGTGCCGTCGGCAACGCAGGATCTGTTGGCCGACGTGGACGACGACGGGTTCAGGACAGAACAATCCTGACATGGGAAGCCCGCCGTCATGACCGTACAGCGTGGCATGCGCACGAACGTGTTCGTTTTCGAGTCCCAGATTTCCTTGTCATATTCCAGGTCCGTCGCGTTACAGAACATGCGCTCGATCTTCCTGTCCGTCGTCAAAAGGAACTGGCGTTTGGCGGGCTCCTTCTCGCAGGCGAACTTGTGAGTGAATGCCGGCGAGTCCAGCTCCCAGTGGAAACGTGCCCAGTCCCAGAACTGCTTCATGACCGTCGCAGCGATGTCCATCCCACTGCAGATCGACCCGTATTGTCCATCGAGGAGCGTGCTTTCACGCACCAAGTCCTGACAGTATGCCACGTCCTCGGGGTCGAGCCTCCTGACCCAGAGCCTGAACAAGTCCTTCGTGCGTGTTGCATGCGCCGGCAGGGTACGTGGAAAGTGTTGCAGGCTGTACTTCGGAATATGAACCTCGACTTGCTTCACCACTTCTGCAGTACGGCGATGGGGTCTGTCCGGCGTGGGTAAGTCCTCCGGCTGGAACTGCAACGCTCGCCGCAAAGCCATGGGTAAGCTACGTGTACTGTACAGCGAGTGCCAGATGTTCTCTCAGGAAGCAGGACTAAGGAACCGGGAGACGATGAGTTTGCCGATAGGTATAGGCGTTCCGAACACAAGCCCCGGCCTCTCGTCCAATTATATAATGCTCTTTATGAATCCTGCTGAACGACGTGCTTTTATCAGTATAGCTGCCCCTGCATTGCACTGTTCAGATGATGTTCTGGAGCCAGAAGACTGACTTGGCTCTCTGGAGACCATCATGAAACCAGGTCGGAAAGGTTGACCCCATTCTTCCAGCAGCAGCAAGAAACATTGAAAAACAAAGCTTTCCAAATCGACAGTAAAAGAAATCCATTGGGAGCCTCTCTGCGACTAGTCCAACCGAAAACTAAAACCACATTCAACAAGAACGAACTAACATCATAGTGTAAGCAGCATTTCAAAACATAGGACATCTGAACATTCCATCCAAGACTGCACTGAACTGTGCGGCCGAAACCGTCCTTGAAGTGCTCCGTGTGTCGCTGCCAGAGTGAGAAGGGTGTGGCCTCTGCCCCAGGGCCTGCAACATGGAAATGGAAAGCATCTAGCCAAGGAGTGTGGGGGAACAGCGGTGTATTATCCTTAGGACTTCAGACACGCCTCTGCATGTACATGTTCTGTAGAACCTACAGATTCCAAATGGCAGAATGAGCGGCCCTTTTTATCCTTGCCGAAGGGCCGTCCTTGACATGCACAAGTCGGTCGTCAATCGTGTGACAGCGGGGAACTGAACAAAAAGAACCCAACCACAAAGTCTAATACATTATTCTGGTTTTCTGCAATCTTCTTAAGTTAATTCTCTTACGAGATTCAATGAACTGATTCAATGATTCGAAACATCGGGTCATCGAACAACGTGTGTCATGCAAAACTTGCACGGGCGAGTCCACCGGCGACAACATTCGTCATCTCTTGTCTGACATAAAATCATACTTTGCGAAAGACACGTTGGAAAGTTATAGCATTACGTACACCGGGGACTTGCTACGGCTCCTCTTCTTCGTCCAGCGACTGAATTGTCCTCGTGAAACGGCCCTGCAAATCCTTCAACAAATCGAGTGAGCTGCGCCTGTCCTGCTCCAATGTGAAGCATGAACCGAAAACGTGTGCAGCGATGTCGTCGTCCAGCAAGTGCAGGTCGCGTGCTCTCTCGCGCCATGCAGTCTGGAAACGAACGAGCGCTTGTGAGATGGTCGGCGTGTGCTTGACGAAGCCCTTCGGGTCGGGAGTGAACAGCGAGCGTGTCGTCTTCGCGTAGCAATCCCACGTCACCACACCGAGTGCCCACATGTCCGCCTTCGGGCCGATCTCCACCTCTTTCATCAAAGTGAAGCTGCTGAGCAGTTAAGGGAAACGACAACAAAATGAAACACATAGTCATACTTCCTGCCAAAAAACAAGTCAATTCTTAAAGACATGGCTGTTACTAGCAAGATATGAAGTTTTTCAGGCTATGTCTTTGACTAAGAAGCTGAGTCTACGACTGCATGTGCTGACATGACTCTTCTATGAATCAAGAATCAGATCTTTGTGTCAAGTTTTCAATTACAATGGCCATTGCGAGTTTGCTAGTAGTAATGACATCAGTTGGATCCGGGAATGCCTGAGGTTGATCTGGTCCTGCAGTTCAGATCCGCAAAATCATAAAGTGTTACTAGAATGAACATACGCACCGGGCTTACTACTTTCAACTTTCTTCGACTAGGATTCATGGTCCAGGCCTTGCCGTCCCCGGAGTAAAGGCACTCGATCGGCCGGTAGTACGTCGTGTAGACTTCGTCAGCTCTGACTTTTGCTTTTCCATTGAGTGGCAAAGCTCGGCAAAAACCAAAGTCGGACAGCACCACCCGCTCGCCGAGGAGAAACACGAGGAAGTTGTTCGTTTTCACGTCCAAATGTACGATGTTTTTGCTGTGCACAAATGTAAGAGCTGCGAGTGTCTGCCGAAAGTACGTCGTTACTTGGGCTCGTCGTGTGCTCCAGGGAACTCCGTCCTGAAGGTCGTCCGTCTTCAAGTCCCGTGTGGCCTTCAAGAGGTCGCAGGAAGCCCGCTCCATTAGAATTCCCGTGTGCCCAGTCGAGGATGTCAGCAAGGCATAGAGTCGCAGAACATTCGGATGAGGTCCTATCTGGCTCAAAAGAGTGAACTCACGGGTCAAGTCCCACGTCTTTTCGAGACCGTCTTGGTGCACGTCCAACAGTGCAGTCTCCCTGTCCGGCGTGCGAACGGCCACTTTCAAGGCTAACTTCAGGCCCTGGTACGTGCAAGCGAAAATCTCCCCGTACGTGCCGCGACCCATATGTTTCTCCTGCACCAGTGGGTCCTCGGCCGTGTAGCGAAAAATGCCACGACCGTCGAAGTCCTGCGACTCTGCGACGTCCGGCAGTTCTCTGTCCATGAACGAAGCGGGGGGAACTTCCGTGTGTTTGGCCTGTCGAAATTCTTCGCGTTGGACCCGATTCTCCTGGTAGCCCTGCCTGGCCTTGCGTGTGTACTCGTCACGGAGGTCCTTTCGGTTGTGCCTCGGGGAACAGAGGAATTTTACTGGACGATTGGGTGAAAAGGTAATCCCCGAGTAAAAAGTAACATGACTTGTATTAGGACTTTTAGCTACATCTTATTAATTATGTCTGAAGTAAATAACTTTGGTACGTAGCTAAGATGGCATATTCGGGTTCCTGACCAGAATTGCCAAGATTTTACTTCCCGTGGCTTCAGATGACTTGGGGTTCTAGGCAAGGGGCACATGTGTCAGTATCTATATTGATTTTGCAGCCAAGAAGCCACTTGCGCAGATAATGTTTTGAACCGCGAAGTGATGTTTTCCGGGACAGTCGACGACGAGATTTGGGGTCCACAGAGTCCTTGCACATGTCCTGCATGAACAGCGCGTATGCCGAGGGTCGTCGTGACAGTCCCACCTCCTGTAACTTCGGCCGGGCCACCATGGCACGAGTAATACTTCGAGGATGGAACCACGAGTCGAGACATGTACAGAGACTCTTTCCGTTCCATTTATTTCAACAAAACTGAATTCTCATGGACTCCCACCGAGAATAACAACCTAGGTTTCAAGTACAAACATTTCTGGTACAATTTCCAGTTGCGCTACATGACTACTCATTATCTTGTGTGTCCGTGGGGAAAGTTACACAGAAGGTGAGTGAGGGCGCGTTGGCTCGCCATATCAGTACATGTCTGGCCTACTTAAAATACGTGCTCAATGCATGGACGACATGCTCCTGAACTTGAACCCACATCACCGCCACTGTCTCACACACGTAGCAGTGCATTACAGAAGTCTGACTAGAAGCATCAATTGCACGGATCAAACACGCGTGCAAAGCGGAATAATCCTCTTTTGGGCCCGACGAATGTGTGCATCGATGCTGAACGACGATGTGCTACGAGGAGAAAAAGTCCAATCACGGGCATGTCAAGTCCGAGTGAACTCAGGAGTCGAACCTTGTCAATCGCTCCTGCAAGTTTTCGGGTGGATCACGTCCTTCGTGGTGCTCCACCCATGACCAACCTTGTGTTACACAGGCTCGACCGGCGGCAGCTTCACCTACTTGTGTCCATGAAATACTACGTGTAATGCTGACTACAGCTGTCTTGTACGACACCTTCCAACGACCATTCTTTGGGTCCGTCCAAACCTGTACAGTATCAGGAACCATGCTCTTCACAAGCTCGTCCGTCGTGGCATTCAGCTTTGCGTACACCCGGTCGTACTGCTGCTTTAGCTTTTTGCTGTCCTTCTCGGCCTTCTGAGTCTTGCGTCGGCGTGTGTCCTGTCCGGCCTTCCAAAAGTCCTTGTCCAGGTCCGAGACGGCGTTCTTGTACATCGTGCATACCTTGGGTCGTAGACTTTTGGCCGAAACCGTGGACCGACGGGCACTGAGCTCCTTGAGGGCCTTGTCCTGCTCGCCAATGAGCAGCGTGTCCCGAACGACGGCTTCCAAGTCCTTGTCGTCGACCTCCGGCATCCACTTGTCAGTCTGATGCCTTGCCAGGATTCGTTGAACCACGTCCTCTTCGACCAACGAGTTGTCCATGTTGAGCATGGCGGCAACAGCCAGCTGATGTCCTGCGTCCACACCTGATTTGGGTTGGGTGGCGGTCCAACCCATGTGCTGGCACAACCTGCGCAACAAAGCCTCAGAACAGGCAGCGAAGCCCTGCTCGGCGTGAAAGTCCAACGTGCCCATCTTCTTGTCCACCAAAAACACGATGCCGTTGTTGAGGTGGCTGCCCTGCGTGGAACGACCTCAGCAGTAGCAGTAGCGGCAGCAACACTCTTAGTAAAAAATGATCGCAATCGTTAAGTTTTGCGCCTGGTCAGTAAAAAGCGGTGATATCACTAGGAAGACTGGTAAAAAGACTCGAAAAGGGTAGTAGTAGTAGTAGTAGTAGTAGTAGTAGTAGTAGTAGTAGTAGTAGTGTAGTAGTAGTAGTAGTAGCAGTAGTAGTAGTAGTAGTAGTAGTAGTAGTAGTGATAGTACTAGTAGTACTAGTAGTAGTAGTAGTACTACTACTAGTAGTAGTACTACTACTACTAGTAGTTGCAGTAGTAGCAGTAGTAGTTGTAGTAGTAGTAGAAGAAGTTGTAGTAATACTAGTAGTAGGAGTAGTAGTACTGGTACTAGTAGTAGTAGTAGTAGTAGTAGTAGTAGTACTACTACTACTACTACTACTAGTAGTACTTGTAGTAGTAGTACTACTACTACAAGCAATCGCAGTAGTTTACAGTAGTAGAAGGAATCTCAGCAACAGTCCTAGTAGTAGTAGTATTACTACTACTAGTACTAGTACTACTAGTACTACTACTACTACTACTACTACTAATACTACTGCTAGCACTAGTACTAGCACTAGTAGTATGGCCAAAAAAGTGGTAGCAGTACACACAACCACACCCTCCTTTCGTCAATACCCAAAACCTCGACGCACGTGCCATCCTGGGCTACTCAACCTAACTCTGTGAAACTTCGAATCCTTGACTGTCGAATCGCCTGAGTTGTTCAGAAACCCATAAAAAATAGCTTCAGTGCTACCCCCCCCGGGCCGAAACTTACAATCTGAACCGGAGAAGCCTTCCGTGTCAATCAATCATCGTCACTCATTATAGGACGAATATATATGTAGAGAATGTCCGTGTCGGGCTGACAATGTTCAACTGTACTGCAGCCGAGGCACGCAGAGGTGAAACAACTCGCAGCCGCAACACTTCCAAGTCCAAAGATGTGCTGTGCATCCAAAAGAGAGACCGAACGCCCATGTTGAATTCGAAAAACTCATGGTCCTTGTCCTTAACGATCTTGCCGGGCCATGCGAGTGCAGCCAAACGGTATGTCCGAACGATGAACAACGGGTCTGCACCTGCCAGTACAACATGTCCTTCGGGCAAAAGTCCAGAGCACCAACCTTCTTCACAAAGCGACCATCGCTTGGCCCTCCACGCCTTCATCAGTAAACTGAAGGCAGCCAAAACCTCCTGTTCCTCGGCGTGGTTGTGGGAGACCCAGTCCCTCGTCTTCGTCACGTCTGCAAGAAGCTGTGCTTCCTGCACCTCCGAGGCACTGACCTGCGTGCTGACCGACGAATCGGAACGACGACGAACTGCTTGAATCTTCTTCTTCTCGGTGTCTTTGCAGAAAAGTTTGGCCACGTCAAACGCTGCCGGCGTGTGGTAGAGCTCCGTTGACAGTGCCTCCACCCTCTCGTACATCTTGACCACGGCCTGTTGGGTCACAGCCTTCCATCCGTCCAAACGACCCAAGTCCTTCGAAGACGAATGTCGTTGCTCGGCCTCGCGCTGGACTTTATTACAGTCTTCGATGATCTTCGTGTTCAAGAGGCCCGACCAAATGCTGGTCAATACGTGTGCAACGTCCTCCGTAAGGCTCTGAAACCGGGTAGTGCAAAGATCGGCGAGGATGTACCGACTAATCGGCCCTTGGGAGAAATGACCTTCGAGCAATTTTTGCCATACGAGAACCACCACTGTGCGTGTCCTGGATACAAGACTGCATCTCTTTGAAAAAATCCAAGCTTGCCCGACGGAACTGCTCTTCAGCATGGACTAGTCCTGCGGTCGCACCGAAACCTCCAGTATGGTACAGCTGTGCCCCGGCCCGCAGCCGCAGGATCTGTAGTGTCAACTGCGTCATTTGGCCTGCGAGCGAGTCCTGCCAGACAAGCTCTGTCTCCTCCGGGGGTTGTGCGCGTGCCAGTGTCAGGTCGAGGCCGACACGAGATAAACCTTCCAAATTCGACAAAGTCCTGACGTGGTCCTTTGCAGTGCTCATCCAAGACCAGTGTGCCCAGCCAGAGTAGTAGTCCTTCGTCATGCCTTTGGAACGCAGCTGCTTGAGCATGAGCGAACAACGAAGCTCTTCGGGTTGCAAGACCTGGAACATCATCCTGGCTGTCGTCTTGTTGTCCTGCGAGATCACGAACTTCGTCATTAAGTGTAGACTGTTCGCGCTGCCCTTCCGCTCCTGGTCCATGCCTTGCTTGGCCTCCTGTATGGCAGAAGACTTGCTTCCACCATATGGAACCGAGGCACGGGCCTGGTTGCTGTCCTGCGAGAAGAGGTCCTTAGTGGAAACTGCCCAGTTGTGCTCCAAGCAGACCACCGTGAGAACTAAAGCCAAGACCGACCACTCTTTGTCCAGCGCGCTGTGGGCCGTCGTCAGGGAATTGAACCGACTCTTGCTGGCCTTCGTGCCCTTGATGCGGATGCAGTCCATGTCGGGTAATGTCTGCAAAAACGACCTGCGTTTCTCCTCCGTGTTGTCGTCCAGGGGGGAGAGGCCGGCGTCCAGCAGAATGTCCGGGAAGAAAAGGAGCAATATCGGGTCCGAGGGGTCCATGTTGTCCTTCATGCGATTTGCGGCTTGCTGGATCTTCAACGCCCACGAGCCCTTCTGCCAGGGTCCATACCTGATGTTGTACAGCGAGATGCACCATGTGCAGAACTTCAGGAGTCCAGCGGCCGACAAGGCCAAAGCCACGTCGTTGTGCGACCTGTGGGCGGGGTCCGAGACGTGTTCGATCCAGAGGCTCTTTTTGTTCCTCAAGAAGGAGACAGCCGCCAGCTGTGTTGCTTCTTGGTCGGTGCACAAAATCATGATCGGTGCACGTTTAGCCTTCGTGTCGTCCTCCGCGGGGCCGGCCGGCGTGCTCTGGCAGCAGCCAAAAGTCCAGCCAATGGGTCGCAAGCCGTGGTTTATGTCCTGCATCCAAGACAGTGTGGCCAGCCGGTCCTCCGCATGACCAGGTCCAACGGGTTTCTCGATCCCGAGGAACTTCTTGGAAGCCTTGTTCCACATAGCTTTCCACTGCTCAGCCGACAAGACGGACGATTTCTGGACCTGCTGCGTGGTCTGACTACACAGAGAAAAATGTGAAGCAAAGCTTAGAGGAAGAGCTTGTCAGCAACAGCATGCAAAACAAACGACAGAGGTTGTTACCATATAATCACCCAGGGGCCCTTTTTTGGGGGACCGGCCGGTCAACTTAAGCGGGGATCTGGCGTACCTTTTTGGGGGCCGAAATGCAGCCAAAATGTGGCCGAAATGCGTTCCTCGGCCTCCACCCGGGACCCGGTCAACTTAAGCAAGGCTGTGCGTACCTACTCATCAGTAGAAGGGCGGCCGGGAGCCTTTATCAGGCCAATCCCGAAACCCAGGGGTCAGCGGGGATACGTGTACCTATCTTTATATAAAATACAATAGAAAGACTCCGCCCCAAACCGAGCCTGAGCGGGGATACGTGTACCTCCCCTCGGAAAAACGATTTTGGTCGGACCCAGAAGCTACGAAAACGGCACCCAAAAAGGTCAACTTAAGCAAGGCTCTGACGTACCTCGCCTCTTGCCTAAAACGCCTCAGAAATATGTGTTGCTTAACAAAAAAAAGCGCCTGCGGCGGGCAGACCCAAACTTTGTCCGTCGTGTGGTTGTACACCATGATGTTCAGCCAATCGTCACTTCCCACGTGCACTGCATCTGCCACCACGCACAAAATGTCCGTCGAGAGGAAATCTGACTTGCCCTGCGTGACATAGGCGTATCGCTCCATGCGTGCTAGCCTGTGTGCGTCCATAGAAGCGTGCTTCTTGATCTTTTGTTCGTCCTGCTGTTCGCTGCTGTCCTGCACGGTGAACGCATGTCCTTGCAATGTGGAGGTAAGTGTCCTGCGTGTGGCATTCGATGAACTCGCAACCTCTTGTCGAAAACTCGTGGACGACCGACGATATCCGGAGGTGCTCCTGAAACAACAGGGGGAATATCAATTTTCGGGCTTTCAAGACACAACCCTACATCTTAAAACCCCGGAACCCTCCAAACCCTTCAAACCCTCCAAACCCTCGAATCGAAACCTCTCTCCTAAGCTGCATCACTTGCTTCACATTCAAAGATGTCCAGCAGGAATGCGTGTCGTCCGACGAATCCATGGCACGTGCCAAAGCCGCCAACAAGTAGTACTTCGTCCTCAAACTAGATGACTTGCGAGTGTCTCCAATTGTCCGACGGGTGCAGTCCACATTCACATCCTGCAGCACGTCCATGAATCGGGAACGATCGCGGTGTAGTACTTTAGCAAGTAAACTGTTTTGCAGTACAACCTCGTCCACGTCCAGCGAACCTCCTTTGAACGGCAGCACCAGAGTGTTTCCGTCCCACGTGAATGAGAAGTCCTGCGGGGTCTGCAGGAACAAGGAAGCGAGGCCTTGAAGCAACTCCCCGGCCAGCTTGGATACCTCCTCTGCCGGCTTCTTCCATTTGGCATCTTTGCGCATACCCTGGTGCCATTGATGCAAAAGAACAATCGTTGCAAAGCTCGACGTGGCAAACTCTGTACAACGTGTGCTTCGTCCAGCTGCTACCTCTTCCATCTGGTCACCCGTGTGCTCCTCATTGTCCGCTTGCTCGTTGTCGTCCTCCATGTCGTCCTGCATCTGCTGCGAGGATGCCTTTCGTTTGGTGCCCTTCTTCTCGGCGTTTGCAGCGTGCTCCTGCTGCTTGAGGAGGGAGAACGAACTCTGGAGAAAGTGCGACTCGATCTCTTTTTTCAGAGCGTCCTCCGTGTCTGTCCAGCAGGGCCATGCAATCGTGAAGAGCTTGTTCCTGAACGTCGACACACTGCCTGCGAGGAAATTTCGAGACTCGTGTCCTCCGAGGAAGTCCACAAACCAACGCATGTGCCAAAAACGATGTCCATCCGTTACCTTGGTCTGCGGCTCTTTGAACTTGTAGCTCTCGCCCTTGAGGCTTCCGTGTGTCCCGCAGGGAATGCAAAATGCAACTGTCCGACGCTTGTCCGACGCAGAGCTGAAAAAAGCTGGAGGTCCTGAAGAAGAGGGTCCATCGGCAGAAGCGGGCTCCAGCATCTGATAGCGAGTGGATCAATTCTACAGTCTGTTTCTGGTGAACGAATGTAGCAAAACTTTATAGGCTATGTCCCAGGAAGTATATGTGACATCTGCCAAACCAAGAGAAAGGGAGGCTCTGCAGGCATGCAGCTTTTATTCTGGAAGCCCAAAGACAGCGGCAACGAATCGCTGATGTCGCAAGGCAGTGCTCACACCACGTGTCATGGGTCTGTGTTCTTCTGCAACATGTATGTAGCACATACTGCAAGGCACCGCAAGGAAGTCATTATTGCAGTCAGCCATTCATCGCACGTATTCTTTTATGCAGCTTGCAAGTTGCCGGCTTCACGGCCCCAGTGAAACTCGTGCCTGTCCACTCACTCAGACACAATGGGTCGAACGGCGAGGCGAACGACATTGTGCTTTTCGAGTGAACAAACTGGACAGAACAACGAGTAAAGTCAACCCCAAACTCAAGACACACTGAACTACCAGGAGAGAGTGCATTATGCACTCCGGACCGACGGGGTGCCCTGCGGCACACTGTCGCCGAGGCCAGCCGTGGTGTCTGCGTCCGACGACAAGTCGAAGGTCCACTTGGCCTTCATGTCCGGCAAAGTAATTAGGAAAGAAACTCGCGCATTCAAAACTGAACAACGAGTTATGCTGTCCATCTGAAATGACACAGTCCACCGCAAAAGGGTCGTCCAATTGCCACGTCTTGTTGTCCGGGAGAGTAGGAAGCTCGTGGCTGAGGTACGACTCGTGGGGTACGAACTCCGAGCGGGAACGGCGAGGGTGTCCATCTTGTGTGGCAAAGACGTGGCAGTACAACGTGTTGTTCTCAAGTGACCAGATGTTGTACCTGTCCCGGTCAACACTGATAGCCTCCGCCGAGTTCACCGCAGCTATGTAGTTGCGACCAACGTCCTCCATGCGGGCCCTCGCTAACTTGACCAACGTGGACTGATAGCGAATGTCCGCACGAGATGGCAAGGACGCCGACTTGGCTGCCCAGAACTGGATCTCGAAGAGGGTCCGTACGACGGGTTCGTCCTTCTGTACGTCCTCCGCGAGCTCCACACCGCAATGCTTGAGCATTAAGCTCGCCATCTCAAGCGGCAAACTGCCCCATTTGGTGCACTTGCCCTTCCATCTCAGTCCACCGGTCTCCTCCTTCTTGGCAACGTCCTTCAGAAGACCATTCAACGAGCCCGAGCGGATCAGACCAGCGAGTGGAGAAATCCAAGTCGGGTTCTGGGTCAGCGTGTCTTGAATGAACCGCATGTCCACGTCGAGTATGGTGCTTTTGGAGTGCTGAACGGCGGATGCGAACGTCGCCTCGTTGCGCTCCCGGGTCTTGATGTCCTTCGCTTTCTGCTTCGCCAGCTGCTTGAGGGTGGGCTTGCGGGGGCCGGCATCACGAGGCATGCTGGGCAAGGTCCGTCGAGGAAGAACGACGGGGAAGGATGATAAGACTGCACGAAGTCTCAACGCACAGGCAGGACGGCTTCGGAAAACCAAACAATCAATCAAGCCCTGCTGCTGGGTGGTCTCACAGTGCATTGTGACTGGACGAACATGGCAAGCAAGACACAAAGCGTAGACCGCACGAGAGCACAGTGCCTGAAACGAGAAGGCTCAGCGGCAGCGATGCCGGCCAATGGAGTCCGTGTCCTCCATATGAACAGGACAACAGCGATTGCAAGAGCGCCTTCCTCCAGCTGGTTGACTACTGGTCTAGTAATTACTCGTAGCAATACTAATCCAGATTGCGAAGAGTAGTACTAGCAGCAGTACCACTACTCATTAAAGAAAGGAAAAACCAGTAGGCCGAAATTGCAGTCCCTATTAGTTGAAGTAGAAGTATTAGTAGTAGTAGTAGTACTAGTAGTACTAGTAGTAGTAGTAGTGTACTAGTAGTAGTAGTAGTAGTAGTAGTAGCAGTAGTAGTAGTAGTAGTAGTAGTAGTAGTCGTAGTAGTAGTACTAGTACTAGTACTAGTCGTAGTAGTAGTAGTAGTAGTACTAGTCGAAATAGTAGTAGTAGTAGTAGCAGTAGTACTGGTTAGCTAGTAGTAGTAGTAGTAGTAGTAGAAGTAGCAGTAGTAGTCGTAGTAGTGCTAGCAGAAGTAATAGTAGTAGCTAGCTAGCTAGCTAGCTAGCTGGCTAGCTAGTAGTAGTAGTAGTAGTAGTAGTAGTACTAGTACTAGTAGTAGTAGTAGTAGTAGTAGTAGTAGTAGTAGTAGTAGTAGTAGTAGTAGTAGTAGTAGTAGTAGGAGTATAGTAGTAGTAGTAGTAGTAGTAGTAGTAGTAGTAGTAGTAGTAGTAGTAGTAGTAGTAGTAGTAGTAGTAGTAGTACTAGTAGTAGTAGTAGTAGTAGTAGTAGTAGTAGTAGTAGTAGTAGTAGTAGTAGTAGTAGTAGTAGTAGTAGTAGTAATTAGTAATTAGTAGTAGTAGTAGTAGTAGTAGTAGTAGTAGTAGTAGTAGTAGTAGTAGTAGTAGTAGTAGTACAGTAGCAATGCTAGTAGTACTTGTACTAGTCGTGGTAGTAGTCGTAGTACTGAGTTGTACACCTCATGATTATTTTCCTGAATCAAGCCACACCCGAAGCCCCTCTGTGGACAAGTATGGTGAACTTCCAGAAGTGAAATCGGTTTATACCATGCACTGTAAGTAGATCTAGTTAAGGAGACACCACCCGCAATGAATAGGCCAGAACTAACCTTAATGATTCACAGCCACAAACAACAAATCTAATGTGTAACGCCCAACACTAAAATTTACCGCTCACCCTCGATTCTATGCACTCGATGCTTGAAATGCTGAAATGGCAACCCAGGCAACAAACCGGACTCCCATTGCTCAAAGGCCTTTAACTCTTTATGTCTACGGCAATTGCTCCATGTCTGCTGCAGGTGGATCCTAACTTACCTCAGAGTCCGCGGAATGCCTTGTCACAATCCGAAAGCATGACCCCTGACTTAGTCCTCGTCCTGCCGTGTGGCCGTGCCCTGCGAACCGAACGAGGAGTGACCGACCTCAATTGCAATGCATGAAGCACATGACAAACCTAGTACGAGTGACTGGTGACTGCGGGTGGTTCAAGCACTTGTCGCTTCCGAGTGTGACAGGAAAGAACACAGCAACTGTGCCGATGCAAATCGTCACAAACTGTGCAGCACCAGAACTCCGAGGACCCCGCCAAAGAGGTGCCAGTCCATGTCAGCAACCTGAAGCGCAAAAGTTTAAGTCAGCAAACAGTGCGATAGGAACTAACATCCGGCAAATGTAAAGTGTGCCAGGACAATTCTTTTTGAACGGCGAGAGCGAACTGATCTGAACTCCGAGTGCAGAAAACGTGTCACTTTCGAGACTGGCCGGCGAGAGCGAACTGCTCCAGAACTCCAAATGGAGACTGGCCGGCGGGTACGTCGTGCTTGAACGAACTGCGGCTAGTTCCACGAGCCCGGTCCAAGTTCGAGCTTCTTGAGAAACAGTCCGATGCACTGAAAGTCGATCGTGTCACCTGAACCAGCGATGTCCGAAAATTTGTCGACTTGGTAAGTATTTCAGTTATACTACAAGGTTTACCAACAAAAATCTTACTGGTTCTGCTGTTGCACGTCCGTCGGGGCCCTTCGTGATGCAGAAGTACAAGTCCGACGCGTTGTGCGACGACACCGCGTAGTACATGTGGCCCTGCCAGGGAACGGGGACGGCCACCGGGTAGGCCTCCCAGTCGCGGTTCAGCATCTCGACCATCCACGATTGCGGGTGTCGGGAACCGAACAGCGGGGAATGGAGTCCGGCGGAGAGGGCGTTGTCTGTCCTGCGCTGGGCCGCCCCGAGTATCTGCTTGAAGCAGAGCCTGGACCGGCAGTGGGTGCTGCGTGTTTAACCACTCACACACACAAGTGCAAGTACTGGAATGCTTGAATGACTGAGTGCGCTGATGTCATAGCTGAGTGCCACACTCCAACATTTTATCGCCCTGCATGTGTTCGACGAGTATCTGCCAGCCGTCGTCCTTCCTGCTAGGGAACAATTCAATTATCAGAAACACAAACTATTAAAATCTAGAAGTCTCTCTCACTCACCGTCCGAGGAGTCCGTGTCGCGAAGGCAGGGGGCCGCTTGTACAGCAGTCCATCGGTTGCAGCAAGCCAAGACCAAAGCCTACGGGATGTGCTCTGTGGAAAATAATCAATGTATTATAATATTATATGGCTTTAAAAGCATGCACCTTCATAGAAACCACGCTACAACCAACATGGGTGTAACGAGCCTGT